AAAACGTTCTATGAGTAACGTAGGTATCTATTTGAGATTCGCTAATATCATTCAGTAAGTAGAGCGGAACTACAAGACACATACTTTTTCAGCAGAGTAATTATCGTCGTCAATGGTATGCTTGTTGTCAAAAGTGAAAGCTATAAATGCAATTAATCATCATATATCAATGATAAGTAAAATCTAAGTTAAAATTCAATATCTCGTTAATATTATTGGTTAAAAAAACCTCGATTTGTGATCAAGAGATTACTAATAAAATGGCTTTCATGCATTCATAACTGAAGCGTGTTATAAACAATAAATGATAGCAGTAGAAAATCCGAATACATATTTTTTTTATATAAATCAATTTATGTTTAAGTTTATAGCGCCAAGGATTACATTAGGAGCAATTATAATGAAAATGATTTTGTCGAATGCTGTACAATAGGCGTTCTCATAAAAGATTACACCTATACAAATCCGCCTAGATTAGTTAAAGTATATAAGGTCGATGCGCCTGTTTTCCTCCATTTTCGATCATTTAGCAGTCCTCCGTTGTAAAAAGATCAAAAAACAGCAATGTTGATATACTCAAGAGTCCAAAACTTAAACAATTGGCAACCTGAATGAAATTAAACGAAGCTTTAAGCTAAAACCAATTAATAAATCTGAGGGTTGCAGCGGATAGTATCACATGCGTCGTATATAGTAAGGTGCCAATACTTTAAAAATTAGTTTCTAATTATTCTTAGGTCATTTTGGTTTATTTATTGTTAGATTTCAACGTAAATTTCATTACTATTTTATTTATTTAAAAGATTAAGTTTTCGACCAGGGTTCTAAAATGGAAAGCCACATCCAATAAGGAGGTATTTAAAAAAAATAGTTCCCGAAATCAAACTAGATGTCGCTACGGTACGTTATTGATTTCTCCATGACAACTCTTCCGGTTTTCTTTCATGTTTAAAAGTAAATAAGTTTTCAAAACTCAATAAACAACTCATATCCTATTTGTACTTTTTCGTATTTGTATTGATATCTAAGTTTCGAACTTTGAAATTTCAGTTTTTTAATTTGTTAGTTAAAAGAAACGGAAATGACTGTCTTTGGTCCAATCGTTTCCTGCAAAAATCAACTTTTGCTAGAGTCGCCATCTAGTGGAGGTACTTTTGTAGTGCTTTCATATTTTTTAAATATTTACTCATTATACAGAATCAGAAAGAAGCGCCGGGCGAAAAAAGGGCGTTTGTTAACAAATCCATTTCACGCACTTTGTATTTCCTAATAATGAAAACAATCATTATAAAAAATAGTTTGACTGTGATTGTATTCGAAATTAATTTAAGTTTGCATATTAAAACACAAATATTTTTTAAATAGCCATAATTACTGAAATCTAACCCTTCAAAGTTTAAAACATCAATACTTATAACGAATTGTTTGACAATTTTTGTATTATTGTTGTCGTAACTATAATATATTTTTGTATTTTTGATGTCTAATAGGATTTTATCATGTTGATAAATAAATATTATTCTTGATTAAATGAACTCAATAATATCGAGTTTTTGTATGTACATACGATATAAACTTACTGATTTGGAGCAGAAAAACAGATTAACAAATCAAAATCAATACCTAGAAAAAATAGCTTCACTCACTGGTAACTTTACTATTGTAATTTGTATGTACATACATATTTCAAATAATTTTTAATTGTTAGTAAATACAATTTATTTTATTTATTTTTCACAGAGGTTAGTGTAACAACATTAAAACGAATAAAAAAGGAAGGTGCAGTAAATGATGGTGTCTGGAATACTCCAGGAAAAAAACGGCCACACAAACCCACAGTGTCAGAGTTAGATAGTTTTGATGTAGATGCTATTCGCAATAAAATTAATGAATTTTATATTGTGAGAAAACATGTTCCTACATTGAAAACACTTATGCTGGAATTACGGGAAAGTATTCAATTTAATGGATGCCGGGAAACTCTTCGCCGAATATTATTGGCAAATGGCTTTGAATTCAAAAGAAACAAAAGTGAACGTTCATTATTAGTTGAACGCTATGACATATCTGCCTGGAGACACCGTTTTTTAAGGGCCATAGGTATTAAACGTGCAGAAGGGAAACAAATAATTTACTTAGATGAGACCTATGTTCATAAAAACTACAAACCCAAAAAGTCTTGGCAAGGTCCTTCTACAAGTGGTGCGATTGAAAATATTTCAGCAGGAAAAAGGTACATAATTGTACATGCTGGCTCGGAAAGAGGCCCTGTACCAGACTCATTGATAGTTTACAGCTCTAAGTCAAAAATGGCTGACTACCACCATGACATGAATGCTACAAATTTTAATAAATGGCTACAAGAAAAACTTATACCTAATTTGAATGAGCCAAGTATAATAGTTATGGATAACGCTAGCTATCATTCAGTAATTGTAAATAAAGCTCCTACATTACAAAACCGCAAAAATGAAATAAAAGAATGGCTTAGTATAAATAATATTCCATTTGAAGACTACCACACGAAAGCAGAACTGCTATGTTTTGTAAAATTGCACAAACAAGAGCCAATATATGAAGCTGATGAACTTTTAAGGCAGAATGGTCATGAGGTGTTGAGACTTCCTCCTTACCACTGCGACTTAAATGCTATTGAATTGGTATGGAGTTTGGCTAAACGTAAAGTAGCGAGTAAAAATATAGCTCTGTCTGCAGTAGAGTTAGAAAAGGTGATAAAAGAGTCATTTGAAAACATAACACCTGTGGAATGGAAGAAAATGACAGATCATGTTATACATGTGGAGGATAAATACAAAGAAAGAGATTGTATTACAGAAGATAATTTGGAAAGTTTTATTATCAATGTTGGAGATAGTGATTCCAGTGACTCTGATAATGAATCCCTACATATGGAATTCTTAGATTCAGATTTTGATTATGGTGATTAAATATATATTTTCTTAATCAATACAAACATATTTTTTATTTATTTTATTTTTTTCTTTCTTACATCTCTCTATACTAATATAAAGCTGAAGAGTTTGTTTGTTTGGTTGAACGCGCTAATCTCAGGAACTACTAGTTTTATCACATCACTATTAAGGATGTTCCGATACCATCAAGGTATCGATACCTACTCATATCAGTAGTACTCAAATAGTCTTTCGATACTACTCATATAAATACTCCTAACGTATCGATAATTACTGATATTGATACTTTTAGATTATTTTTTTAATGAAATGACGGACAATAATTTTGAGGGCAAAAAATAAATTAAGTAATTATACTCCATTCATTATAGCATTAGACAGAAGTTAAATAAGGTTCTTTTTATAGTATACGTTGTAACAAAATATGAACAATCATGTTACTCTTAAGATTGACGGCTTATTTGCTACATATCCACTTAAATACCAGCTGCTATACTTAACAGTTGTCGTTTAAGCCATCTGTTAAACAAAATTATGAGTATTTGACTAACTTAAAAGATTTAACAACTCTTACAATAAAAAGTGTTCATCTTAAAGAACCTAGAGAAGCAGGGTTGGATAGTGTCGGCATGATTCTCATGTCACTATAACTCTACCAAATTTAAAACGTTGCCTAATCCCTTCAAACGTTTCGGTAGTACAGCTTTTTAATTTTGTCAGATTATGATGTATTCATAATAGTCAAAATACGTAATCTGGGATTCTCATTAATTCTTTTTGTTTTACCGTATTCCGTGATTGAGTTGTTATTGTATTATTTTTGTTCTCTTATAGTTTAGTTTTAGTTGTTATCTTTTTGTAGTTAAGTTTTGCTAAATATAGACAATTCCGGTGCAGGTTCGAATGGCCTACAACAATTACAAAAAAACAAGGTAGTTTTCCAATATCTTAATCAAAAATCTAATAATATCTGAATAAATGTTATAAAAGTAACAATAAAAATTTCATTTTGTTTACCTTTCTTTCCTGGGCATGAATATATATAAATTCTATTCTAATTATACATTTACAATTAGAATTTTATCAAACAACAGATATATAGTTATAGTTCCATTTTGGCTTGGGAGTAAAAGATGAATTTAGAAAATTCTAGCCACATCGCAAAAGAAAATGGAAAGTTGCCCAACTCTTTCAAACATTACTTAACAATCAAAGTTTCAACAAACTATTATATATATATTTTTAAAATTTATCTTGAAAATAAAATGTTCTGCACTGCTGCTTCTGTGACCCTCTTTTTTCTAATGTTATAATGAATGGAGTATAGGTATTTATTTTTTATAAAATTTAATGAGGAAGTATTTAAAAAAACAATCCAGTTTTCTTTCATGTCTAAAAGTAAATTCGTTTTCAAAACTCGATAAAAAACTCATATTCTATTTGTGCTTTTTCGTATTTGTATTGATATCTAAGTTTCGAACGTTTCAAATTTCAGTTTTTTAATATGTTTGGTCCATTCGTTTCCTGCAAAAATCAACTTTTGCTAGAGTCACCATCTTTTTGGTGCTTTCTTTTTATTTTTAAATACTTCCTTATTAAGAACAGCTGGTATCTGGCTGAATGCAAATTAACAAGACATAAAATGGCGGCACGGCACGGTACGTCACACACACAAACACAGTTACATGCCATGCATTGAATGGCGCGCGCGCTTTTACCGACAACCGAGCGAGCGAGAGAAATAAGTTGTCGCTATCTCGTTCTATCAGATGCCTTCATTTTACATAAAATATCGCACGCACAGAACAATACTGTATTATGTCGATACTGTATTAGTCGGATAATAGCGCAGTGTTGATCTGGGTGTGCGATATGGTCTGGTCTTATTCGATTCGATACCAAGATACCTACTAAGTCTGTGATACCAAGTACTTTTGTTTCGATACCAAATATGTATCGCAAGATTGATTCGATGCTATTAATACTTGGTATCGTATAAAAAGTATCGAGTACATACTCGTATTCACTAGTATCGGAAGATCTCTAATCACTAAAAACTTCAAATCCAAACGTCACCATGCCCATGTTATGGGCAAAGATTAATTGATTATAAATTTTATTTTGTTTAGTTTTCGCGTGATAACTCCTTTTGTGTTTTTTCTAATTAATTACAATTCTTGACATACCACTAGATAAAATGCCTAAAGTACGTCGAAGTAGAAAATCGCCCCCAGAAGGATGGGAGCTGATTGAACCCACTCTGGAAGAATTGGAACAGAAAATGCGAGAAGGTATAAACAATACCGCGTTCTAGTAGTATACATAACATTCTTTGCTTTTTCTATTTAGTTTCATGATATATGTACTATATTTACATCACGACTTTCATTTTCAGCTGAAACAGAACCTCATGAAGGGAAACGCAAGCAAGAATCTTTGTGGCCAATATTCAAGATTCATCATCAGAAGTCCCGATACATCTACGATCTGTTTTACAGACGAAAAGCAATCAGCAGAGAACTGTACCAGTATTGCTTAGATGAGAAAATTGCTGACGCTAACCTCATAGCGAAGTGGAAGAAGACTGGTTATGAAAATCTGTGTTGTTTAAGGTGCATTCAGACTAGGGACACAAATTTTGCTACCAACTGCATTTGCAGGGTACCAAAAAGTAAACTAGAAGAGGGAAGAATCGTTGAATGTGTTCATTGTGGTTGTAGAGGATGTTCTGGCTAAAAACATGTGTGTTAAATTAAAAACTGTGTTAGCAGAAAAGTACATGGACATGTTATCATTATAAGTTAATTAAATGTAATATAATAGAAGTAATCTTCAGTGGTTCATATTTTTTTTTACGATTAAAGGCTAAAATTTACCTTTTTTATAGATATTCATTTTATTTTATAATATAGAACAATTTTCCAGAGTTTACCAAAAAATGCAGTCTATTAATTTAAAGTTCTTTGAAAGAGCAAAGACACTAGTATCATGAAATTTGTTATGCAAACAACTTTAGATTAGGTCAGCTCACATTTGATACTGAGTGATTTAAATATTAACTTGCAATTTAATATTAAGTTGCCCAAAGTTATTTTCAAAGAGACCACTATGAGTAGTTTCACATTGATCATTATCAACTATGTATTAATAATCAGTGTCAAACTCACAAAAAATTAAAGAGACAAAATAAGAATCAGCTTTCTTTATTAGGTTTAATACTTAACAAGATTCTATTTTAATAATAAAATAGAAAGGTATATTATAATCCAAACATCAATAATATTTATTGAATAATAGCAATCTTACAGAGTGTAATCGCTTAATTTTAATTAAAAAAAAATTGTAAAATTAGTTTCTAACAAGTTGAATATATATATAGAAGGCACATCTTGAATTATATTTAAATATTGTATGATCAGTAACTAAGATATATTTGTTACAAGGTTTATTAGTTTTGGGATTTTCTAAAGTCAGTAGCCAAACAAAATAACTATCTGTACTTAATCAAAATACAAGACTTATTTAGTGATTTATACACACAAAAATCATCTGAACAAATCATGAAATAATTATGGACCTCTTATACATTCCAATTTATGCAACACAAATAAAACTCTTTTTTAAAACGTAACTGAAAACAAAAGAAAAAATATTTCTAATTCTAACAATGTTTAATGAACACAAGCTTATATATATTTTTTTTATATCTCACTGAGATTTAATATTATTTGTAGCTAGCTACAAGTCTTTATATAATCAATATTACAAACTCTAAATATCATGAAAGATACTTTTTAAATATTGCTCAATAGTTAGTAATCAGTCTTTACTTATTAGTGTACTTACATTAAAGAGATCAATTAACATTTCTGATTAGTAAGTCATCATACCATCACAGTTTTGTGATCTAATTCTTTAGAAAGCTCAATTATTAACTCCTTATATATTATTGGATTCATATTGCATCCTAGTAAATATAAGATAAACCAGTCGCCAAAACCAAAACGTTTTACAATCCTTGACACAACACTTCTGTGGATGTGCCTTACTTGACTCATGATGAGTGCAGTGCGAAAGGGAGGGAATGCTAAAACAAATAGTCTGTAGAGAACGGCCAATGTTGATATTAAAGTGAGAAAGATGAGCCAGAACCATAAGATAACAAATATTTTTTCATTAACTATATTGAGGGGTAATACACAAAGGTGGTCTTTGAGTTGAAGCCCTCCACTGGGCCCATAGTTCCTTAGCCAACATTTAGTGAGTTTGGGGAAGTACTGATCCATTGGGTTGACGGCGGCAAAGTCCACCATGTTGGCAGGTAAACGCGGTGTATGTGTGAATGCTGCTACTACAGCTCCATAATTTCGAAATGCTCCACCCAGAAAAATATCTAGGAGAAATATTTGGCCAATCTGTGTAATAAAATTGGTGAATTAGTCAAGCAAATGAATTTTGTAGTAAAATTTATGCAAGTATTTTGTTTTTTATATGTACTACATTATTTTTTGAGGTATGTCAATGTCCAATATAATTAAAACAAAGAATGAAAGATTGAAAAATATTAATATTCAACAAATTAAATACAACTTACCACATTGAGTAGATTCAGAAGTTCACAGAACGCATAACGCAGTGCATACATGTTGTGTGTATAGATGTTGGTGTGACTCAGATAGAAAATCAATTCACCTCGCCTGTACTCAGACCAGTCTTTAGCCACTAATGGGCTACCTATTTTTTGGAAGGAAATAATAATTATAATATGATCAACCGAATAATAAACTGAACAGATCATGTTATTGAAGATATCAAAAGTAAATTTACTTTCAAACCCAACTAGGAAAACTAAATGATAAAAAATAATAAGGCATAGACTATTTCTTTCTTAAAATAAAGCACGATAAAGCAACAATATTCATATTAACTTTTGAATACTCCAGTACAAAAGTAAATTCTTTGCTCAAACTTAGACAGTGTTAATGTTTAAAATTTCTTACAATGACAAATGCAAAATTTAAAATGCAAAGTGTATATTATACATTAAAAAACATATAATAATACATTTTTGTAATGTTACTTACTCAAATCGGAAGCCAATATCTTGATTCTCCCTCCTTCCCAGATCTTCCATAGGTACCGAGGAGTGTAAAACATCACAGCTTGTCCCAGAAGCACAAAGCAGACCCATTGGTAATATGTGTGCTTGATTTCTTCATCATGATCAAGTTTTAAGGGTCCAACTCCAGGATATGCAGTATGTCCTACATTATAGAATAACACACAAAGTACCCGCAAATGAACGAAATGTCTGGTCCATGTGGAAATGATGAAGATTTGGCGGTTTCATTTTAAATATGTCGATAGTTTAGTGAGAAATACAAGTTGGTCACAAATGTACAGAAACAAAACCGAATATACTTACCAGTGAGGCGGCTCTTCAAAGTATAGGTTCCGTAGATCCAGCAATAGCTATTGATTGCATCTTTATCGCTATTGCTTTTGCCGTCACTCATGCAATGAATAGGTTCTCCAAAGAACTGCTTCGAAGTTACCATCAAAGTGAACACTAGAAGCATTATTACTGTTGCTTTGTAGTGCATGCGAAAAACATTGTTGTCCGTACAAACATTTTCAAACTTCAAAAATGCCCGAAAGGGCATGAAAAGGTCTATCATATTGAACTGAATGCGACACTACACTGAACTAATGAAGTTAAATATACACATTAACAACTAATTGCAAAGTACCCTATAAATATTTATATTTCTTCGCAATTTCGAAATAACGCAGACCGAAACCGTAAAACTCGAAGACCGGAAGTGTCATTATGAAAGGGATGGTTGGTAGTAGTGACACTATCACCAAAACGGAAGTAAAGTAAATAGACCTTAGTGCAAAACGATCTATTTTAAATCTTAAATAAACAAACCATCGTAATAATAATAATAAGAAACTAAATTGGTGATTTGTTATAAAAAATGATAAAGAGTCGAACCACGGTCTGTAAGAATTTAACAGCCAGTTGCATAAACTTCCAATAAATAGTCATTAGTTTAAAGCGACATTACCCATACAAATTTGACATTCAGTCAGTTAAACACAAACAAGCGAAGACTTTCGAAGTGATAAATAAATAAGCTTTTCAGTTGTTGTTTTTCAGTCTAAAACGGACCGCGTTTGTGTCGTATCATGCACTGGTGAGTCGCGATTGCTTTGATTTTTATTCTGAATATTTTATTGTAAGACAAAATAATGTTGCAAAAAATACTTCTTTACGTGCACTATTATGATTTTAGAAAAACTTGATAAAAAAAGAACTGCTACGAGTTTCTAGCTTATCGTCTCTCATGTTGAGAATGCTAGTGATATGTTACATAGCTATTCCCACTTTCCTATGTTTTCAGTTAAAAGGGGGCGAAAGTCAAAATACTGTCCCTATCTGTTTTATTGCACCTGGCAATAGTGCCAGGGCAGAGGATGGTAAATTACATGCCAAAAACGGTTTATCTCACAAACTTCTACTATTATTCTTAGTGCTGCATAACGTCCTCAGCTGCAAAGTGATTTACATATTGATCACTTTTAATATATATTTATCAAGAAAATTTTATAAAACTTTTTGGCTGTTAAAATCTTCTTGGAATTTCTTTGAACAAAATCAGTTAAAGGTTAACGTAACGGACATACACGGCCTCTTAAAAAAGGTCACTTCCTGTTGGATCCAAATAGCGAAGACGTTATTCAATACTAGTTACTGGCCAGATCGATTGAAATGTTGTAGGAAATAAAAACCTTTTGATTTCGTTTCGTTATTATAGAAACCAAAAAGACTAGGATCATTCGCTATGTAGGTAATTATACAAAATCAAATAGGCATGTTAAAATGAAAATTCATCTTCATAACGTAATTTTTTTTATTTATCTATCCTAAACAAATTTTCCAAATATAGAAAAACCAATCATTACATTTATTTATTAGTTTATTACACTATATTATGAGATTGATGCACACTAAATTAGTAATGGATTTAGCCAATAAAACTTTTACATAGTACCTACAGAAAATGAAATGGAATGTAAGATAGAAAATTCAAATATACCTAACCGTAAATTATTTTGAATATCTTTAAAATTGAGCAATTCTTGGTCTGTTGCTTAAAAGACTTTTTAAATTATTAAAATTATAAGACTAATTATAATAATTTTAGATATTAATGAACCTTATGTCAGATGTGAACTCTAAAATGAATCTAAAATTTCCTGGTCATGTAAATGATTTTGTTTACTTCATATGGTAACGGTATTTAGAATATAGGTAAATGCATTTGCATATTTACTCCATTCATAACGTTAAAACCTGAAATGTTAACTTATTTTTACATTAATTACAATATTGTTTTTAAACAGTGTGCAAAAAGTAAACTCATGCAAAAAACTTGTTGCATTTTTACTATCCATAATTTAACACTATCTGTCATAAATAATATGATACTTTATTTACCTTATGCCATACTAAACGTCTCACCTTGGATCGGCGAAATAGGACAGGACGGAATCATAAATCATGGGTTGAATGTAATTTCGTACCTTGGTTCACAATTCACATTTTTTTTTCAATTCACACGATATTCCGATACCCGACGTTAGTAGCTTTGAAATTATTGTATTTTATTTACTAGAAGTATAACATAATTTTCATTGATAATAAGCTCCACCCTAAGGTAGAGCTTGCAAAAAAATTGAGTAAGACTCATTTGAGTGTTCCCCTCCACGGAAATCTTTAGTAAAAGGCGAAAGATTTATGCGTTTTGAAGGGAAACCAGAGTACTAACTCAGCGGCCACCATACTCTATATCTATAAAAAAGCGCACACCGTTTGCGCGATTTAAATGGGTATAGCGACATCTAGTTAAAAACTTATTTACCACTAGCGCCAGAGTATTTACACTATTAATAAGAGGATGCATGTTCTTCAATTTACTAAGAGCTTTACCAGTCTTAAAAACTGACAAAACTTAGATAACAGTTTTAAAATATTTTTGTTCTCACTATAAATGACACATAAGATCTACAAATAAACTTCCATAATGTTACAAGTTTCATAAAACCTATTTTGTGATATAAATAGGTTTTATGAAACTTGTAACATTATGGAAACAGTTAAATGGAGATAACGAAATCATTATTCCGAATTAAGTGTTTTTAAACTTTGCGATAGATTAGATATAAGCAGGCCCTTGATGCCAAAAAAATAAAATTATTAATATACATAATAATGTGAATTAACGGTATCAGTACATCAAGAATGGACAGAAGAAGGTCTTTAAATTCCCTTGATTACCTTGCAATAAAATGTTTTTGACTTATAAATGACTACTTATGACCTATTTTATTTTAAGCACATTACAAACAAAACAGAAATTCAGTTAATTTTGGCACAGAACAAGCAGACTGGCTGTCAAAGTAATAGTAAATATCAATACTAAAACTGAAATATTACAATCATATTATTTTAAACATATTTTAAAAATAACATTGTATAATTTTTCATTGTATAATTTGCATACATTAATAATATTACACTGCACTACCTTAACCTGAATTAATTCATGTACACTAACTCAAGTAACTTAAGTACTGTGTGTTTAATATAAAATCTGGCTAAATACATTTTGAAGAAAAGATTTTATTTACATTTGACCATATAAAATGTTCAATTTTTCTACAGTAAACTTATAATTTACTTTTCACTGATACACTATCTTTAATATCACCCTCTTCAAAGGCCATGTTACCTAGTGCAAATATATTATCGGGATCCAAGGCTTTTTTGGCTGCTAGCAATAAAAGGCGACCTGGTTCACTAACGGTGTCGGTGTACCATTTTTTACGTAGTTTCCCTATACCATGATGATGTGATATAGAACCTGTAAATATAAATATACTTATAAAAGAGTAAACTGAGTTGATGCTTATTACATATTTAAGTATTTTTGGAAGATTCATCATTATTTTTAGAGTATTACACAATCGTGCTTGATTTGATATTTAACTAATGTAATACCAACATTAAGAAAATAACTACGCAGAATTTGTACTGCGGCGGACAAAAAGTCAAAATAATACTATTTATTCCATACACAGAATACATTCCGCATACATGAAATAAAAGTTATTGTACTGACCGCCGGAAGCGATTATTTCATCCCTTGCCGCCTCTTCTATTGCTTCGTACGTGGCGACGGGATCACTGCACTGAGCCGTGTTGTGAGCAAAGTAGAAGTAAATACAACAGCCGGCATCATAACTGCAATATTAAATGAGAATAAATACACACAAATTAATGATGTCTGTGTTGATAATACAGGAATGTCAGGGAAAACATTTATACGAGGGTCAAACTGAAAGTTCTTAGAAAATCAAAAACTGATTACATTAGCCAGTTATTAGTTTTATTATATCTTTTCAAAATATTGTCCAATCACGTCAATACACCGCTGCATGCGATGGAACCACTGGGAAAAGCACTTTGCCCACTCGTCCTTAGGGGTCTCTTCAATGGCATCGCGATACGCAGCCACCGCTTCTTCAGCATTCATAAACCGCTTTCCTTTAAGTTTTTCTTTAATTTTTGGAAATAAATAAAAATCACAAGGCGCGAGGTCGGGGCTATACGGCGGGTGACCCAGTAATTCAACGTTTGATGTCGCCAAATAGTCGATCGTTCGCTTGGCGGTGTGCGACGAGGCGTTGTCGTGGTGAAGGAGGATCCTACTGCGAGGTCGTTTCTCTCGAACTTTTTCCAAGACAAGTGGCAAACAATTGGTAGTGTACCATTCTGCAGAAACTGTTTTTTGATCCTCTAACACAATTGTTGCAAAATGACCTATCCTTCCAAAGAACGAGGCCACCATTTTTTTTCCCGCACTTCGATCTCTCTTCACTTTAGTTGGCAACTCCTCGAAAGGAAACACCCACTGAGCAGATTGTCTTTTGGTTTTAGGATCATAACAGTAAATCCAGCTTTCGTCACCTGTTAGTATGTCGAACACAGCATTTGAGTCACCTCCGTTAAATCTTTCAATCATTTTACGACACCAATCCACACGATGGAGTTTTTGAGCCTCAGTCAAATTATGAGGTATCCACCGGGCGCAAAGCTTCCTGACCGCTAAATGTCCGTGGAGGATTTTGTGCACTTGACTCATACCGATGCCTAAGCTTGTCCGAATCTGTTGATAGGTCACTCTTTTGTCAGTCTCTATCATACGCCGCACAACACAGATGTTATCTTCAGTCGTCGCCGTAGAAGGCCGTCCCTCACGTAAATCATCAGTGAGATTAGTGCGACCACGTTTAAACTCATTAAACCAGTTGTAAACAGTCGCACGAGATGGGGCTTCATCGTGAAAGGCCAATCGTAGTCTATCATAACTTTCTTGTTGACTTAAATGACATCGAAAGTCATAAAAAATCATTGCACGAAAATTTTCTCGTGTTAAATTCATGATGACGTGACACAGACAATTTTCAATTTGCCGCCAAATCGTAAAACAAATGACAAATGAATGAAATATATACTCAGTAATATTGGCAAAGAGTTATATTTTCAAATTTTAGAATTATTTTTTTATTATATTGTTTATAAGTGGCCAGTTCTAAGAACTTTCAGTTTGACCCTCGTAATAGAGTCAGGAACTTTATGAGAGCAAAAAAATTAAAGAAAAGTCAAATAAATAAACATACACACAACCTATATGATATCTTGTAACTCTATCATGACGTAAATTATAAAAATAAACTTTTTATTGTATCCATGCTATTGTTAAATAACACAGGGAAGAGACTGAATCCCTAAATACAGATTATTATTATAATCCATTAGGGTCAGTTTTGACCATTAAGATTACATTAATAATATGTATTACATTACCGCATTACCTACTGTTAAATTATATGTTTATTTTACCATGAATAAAGAAGTGTAATAATTATTAAATATTACATTTGTGAATATTTTCTAAGGCTAGCACATACAATCGAGTAAAAAATAATGACGTGAAATATGTTTTCATATTGTGAAAATCAAAAGGATTTTGGATATTAGGGTTAGCAAATTCTAATTGATTTTTCAATGCAGTTGCTCATAAAGCGCTATTTTTTTAATCCATTGTAAACACCGAAAGTGAGTCTTTACACGTGTTAAATAAAAATGTACTGAAATCTTTTACTGCACACGTGCTTAAAAGTATTTTTTTAATTTTTTTTGGCTGAAAAAAAAAAAAAAAAAAAAATAACCAAAAGAATTAAAAAAAATAATAATAATCGTCAAACTTTAGAGGCAAAAGTATTTCAAGGAGCCTAGAACGAATATTTTCAAATAAAAATGTATGACACGAAAACATGTTCAAATATCACGTTTAATTTTAACAAATAATTGTTTACCTTTACTTAGTTTTATTAACCTATATATTTGTTTTATTTCCTCGCAAAAAGCATTGAAAAATGTTGTAAGAAACTTGAGCGTAAAAGGTTTTTCGAATTCGTGCCAATGAAGACCCTCGCTACGCTCGTGTTTTCAATTTGGTCCTCATTCGTAAAACCTTACTTTCCGCACTCGTATCTTAAATAACTATTGTGACGGCCCAGTTATACTCAATGTGTACAAAAAGGTTTGTAAAGAAGGAGGAAGTATATCCGGGCTGTTTGCGGACAGTACTGACGTCTGCGTGAGCCGGCACGAGATGAGATAGTGTACGATGCCGTGTTGCCGGCACTCGTCGCGCACGCGGCGCTTGACGCGGTCGCAGAGCGCGAGCGCGCGGCCCCACGGCACCGACGTCTCGAACGACTCCGCCACCACGTCGTACTCCATCGCCACGTCCTGCGAACGCAACGTACCCGACGTTCATTATCCTCTCAGAGTCGAAGTCAAAATAATCATTATTCAAATAGACTTCTTAAAAGTCATCATCATCATCAGCCCTTTTACGTCCCCACTGCAGTGGCTCAGGCCTTCCTTATGGATGGTTAAGGAGGATGGGCCATGACCCTCCACGCTGGCCCAATGGAGGGTATTAACGACTGCAAATGCAGCCGGCACCAACGGCTTAACATGCCTTCCGAAGCAAGGAGTAGCTCGAGATAATAATTTTTGATCACCCATCCCGTGACCGACCCTTGGGGAAGTTGCTTAACGACAACGATCACGGGCCGCGGCGCTAATCCACTACGCCAACGAGCTATTCTTAACAGTACTTTTGAATAATCCAACATTTTTTCCCTGCCATTCGTTCAGGACGTCTTTTGGCTGATAAGAAGAACGAGCAAGAAAAACCATGTCATTACCAGATCAATAAATTATAAATAAAGTAAAAAAAAAACTATGGTCTTATAATGATAACATAATAATTTAATAATAATAGAAACAATGAGTTTCACCTATCCAGTTGCTGGACCATCTTAACATTCTTATCTGTTATATAATCGGAAACCTTCATCATCATTTCAGCCGAGAGACGCCCACTGCTAGGCACAGGCCTCCCCCAAAGAGCGAAAACCTTATAATAAGTTTTTTTGATAAGTATTTTTTTAATACTAGATTTAAACTGCATGATATCTCTGTGGAGGTCTAACTAGTAACATCAGAGTCATTGTTAGAAACAAGATCGCTACCGTGCACCCGTGATATGTAAATAGGTATCTGCAACGTGTTTAAGTTTAAAATCGAGTGGGGAAATTTGACAGTTTTGTATAGTCTGACGTGCAGCCGATAGTGTCTTTTGTATTTTACGAGTTTGGAACATTTCGGCGCTGTTGCGAGCGCCGTGATGACGGAGGCATGAGCAGCGGCGAAATGTCGCACATTCATAAAATTACACAATAGCCATCCCGTTTTCAGCAAAAATTCTGATAATAGATTCTGTTTTATAAATTAACATAAACTATAGGAACTATTACTGAAAAGAACCCTTAAAAAACACATTACTTAGACTAAACTGAGGCCAGTTTTGACAGCACACAATATTACACTCTTAATTTCATTATGTACTTAAATGTTATTGTCTTGTTTGTTTTATACTCTGTACTGTTGTTGTGTATTAGCAAAACAAATGCTTAATCAATAATTTCAAAATAATATATTCGATATGGTAACATTACAGGTTAGTTTCCTAACACTCTTCTTTTTTAGCTGCGACGAAGAATAGAAAACACCATTGTATATTGTTTTTGGGATTTTTTACGTCCTCTAACTCACCCTCAGGTACGCGATGACGAACGTGAGCGTGTACCCCCTCTCCCCGTTGTCCGCGCCGGCGGGCACGCCCCCCCACTGCGCGGCCACCTCGTGCAGGCGCCTCTCTCGCTCGCACACCTGCTCGCTGTCCCCCTCCAGCAGCAGCGTCACCACGCACAGCTGCGCGGGGTCGAACCCCTTGATGCGTGTTATGTACATCCGCTTCAGGCCCTCCAGCAGGACCCCGCCCCATGACGACTCCGTTTTCAACGCTTGCCCGAAGCGGAACTGCAAATACATATTATTAGGACAAAAAAGCTAAAAGGCAATAAGGCCGTATTGCTATGGCAGCAATCTTCACCAGTCTACCCATGGTTAGATGAAACTGTTCCAATAGAGTGAAATAACTTTGGGCTAGTGCATTAAAAGAAGAAGAATAAGGATATGTACAAAAGTAAATACCTACGTATACTTTTGCACAGTAATATGAAAAGAAAAAACGAAACAGAATTGAGTAATAGATAGAATAGAATCAGAGTAGAGATAGAGTTCAGGAAGAGACCAGCTTCAGGAAATGTTTTTTGGATAGTTTATTATATGATCGATATTTACATGCAAATAATTGCATAGCATAATAGCTCTGACATGAAATGTCTCGGTTATGAAAACAATAGAGTGGGAATCTATCTATAACAAATGCCAATCTCGTCTAGATTTAAAGCTACTATTATTTTGATAGGTTTTTATTTTGACTATTGCTAATGAGTGGCTCGGTGGCGTAGTGGAAAAGCATCGCATCACGCGATCTTTGTTGTTAAGCAATTTTCACAATGGCCGGTCACGGGATGGGTGACCAAAACCTGCAGTGGGTATGTAAAAATGATGATGACGATTATTATTGGCTCCCAGCAGTCACCTGTTCGTTGTCCATGAGCCGTATGCTGGAGGGCTGCAGGCGCCTCCGGGCCACCTCCCTCTCGAAGTAGAACCCGCTCTCCCAGTCCGGGAACACGAGCGACCCGTACCGGGTCACCGCCGGCAACGGACGGATCTTTATCGTCACCTTTTTATATATTAAATAATATAAGAATTTAAATAATAACAAATAAAATCAAAGTCAAAATAATCTTTATTCAAATAGACTTCTTTAAAGTACTTTTGAATCGTCCAACATTTTTTTTCCCCACTCGTTCAGGACGTCTTTTGGCTGATAAGAAGAACGAGTAAGAAACTCACCAGCTCTAATAAGAGTAATGACATTTACAAAAACCATGTCATTACCAGATCAATACATTATAAACAGATAGAAAAAAAAAAACTACGGTCTTATAATAATAACATAATCATTTAATAATAATGGAAACAAGATAATGAGTTTAGAAGTAATCACCTATCCAGTTGCTGGATCATCTCAAGTCCAAGCGTTCTTATCTGTTATATAATCGGATACCTTATAATAAGCTTTTTTAATAAGTATTATTTTAATAGTAGATTTAAACTGCATGATATCTAATTGTTGTATTTTACTTGGGACCTTATTGTAGAAGCGCACACAAAGACCCCTGAATGAGTTATTAACTTTTTGCAGTCTAGTGACAGGCACCGTTAATTTATTTTTATTTCTTGTATTAAAATTGTGTACATCACTTTTTATTATTTTAAACATTTCACAAACTTACACGCATGCATGACTCGGTTAGACGTCCAATTTGTAAAGTGACTTCATATTCTAATGAAGTCACTTTCGAGGTATCAGTATATTTATAATTATAATATATTTATTCTTAATGAAAAATGATTAAAAAATCCATCAGTCCCAGGGTAGTTTTAGATGGGACTCTAACCCACGACCTTTAGCAATCGATGAAAATCCTCTCACTAGTAGCTAAAAATAAACGAGTGCTTGAAAAATTCGTCAATCCTGTTGGGTCCTCGGTAGCTCAGTGATAAGAGCAGTCGCCCGGATTGCCTAACGTCGTGGGTTCGAGTCCCATCTCAGAGTACTTGGAGTTGGTTGTTTTTTTTAAGCATTTTCATTAAGAGTATTTTTCAGTATAGCTTAATGAATACACATTTGAATATATTTATTTGCGCTATATTGAAAAGATATGTACGTTTATATAAAAAGAAATACCTTTAAGTACATGAATAACTCTACCTAATTCCGACCACTGGTGATCATTCATCAAAGTAAGTTAGCTAATAAAATATTTAAAATTGTCACCTGCTCTTTGTCTGAGGAGTCCTGTTCGAGTTACTTATACATGTACATGTAGGACATCTATTTTCCATTACCTCAGTGACTACTCCCAGACATCCCTCGGAACCCATGATGGTGTGCTCCCAGTCGGGCCCGCACGAGATACGCGGCACCAGGCAACCGCGCTCTATAACGCCTCGACCGGTCACCACCTGTAATACACCATGGAATATATTGTCACTAGATGGCGTTGTAGTCTTTTGAATCGCGCTAACAGTTTATTTAGATGACATTTTACCGAGATGACCGGTATAAAGTTTGTATTACAATTAATTTACGATTAAATATTAACAATGTTTTAACAATTGTATTTAAATGTAGGTGTATTAAAGAATTAAAATCAAAATATAATAAAATAATCGTGCAAACACTCGCTTCGAAACAATTCAGTGTCATGTCATGAGTAAATTTGGGTTCGGATATTTAGGGAATCGCTCTGCTGTATCTTGCTACCGAAACTATGTGATTTTTCTGGGATGAAATTATATATAATGAATAAATAAAACTGACTAAAATTGTCTTCTAGTCATTCCAGAATGCATTTTGAAACAGAAATATTACTTTGAAGCGTAACAATTGAAAGACGGAGAGCTCGATCCTTGTAAGCGGGCTCGGTCTGCGATATGGTTGTTAAGAAACTTCTGTAATGTCCGGTCATAGGATGGGTGAACAAAAATTTATTATCTCGAGCTCCTCTGTGCTTCGAAAGGTAAGTTAAGCCGTTGGTCCGCAGCATCTGCAGTCGTTAATTTCCCTAGTGGCGCACTGGGCCCGCGTGGTGGCCCATTCTCCCTATTCGATTCCATTCATAGGGAATGCCTGAGCCTCAGCAATGGGGAATAAATAGATTAATGTAATAAAAATTCAACGGCACCTTGGTGTGTACGACAAGATCCTCGATATTCCCGTAGGTGTTCTTCTTCATGCCGCTAGCCCTGGTAGCCACCCACCCGCCCAGAGTCGAGAACTCGTATGAGTCAGGCTCGTGTCCCACCGTGAAGCCCCGCGAGCGCATTTCACGCTCCAGGTCTTGACCCACTATTCCTGCCTGAATTAGTCAATTCTGATTATAATCATTTCTAGAGTATATAATATATGAAACCGGACAAAATTTTTACCTGTATTCTAGCGAGTAACTGTTCCTTATCCAGCCATAATATGGAGTTCATTTCGCTGGTGTCCAGTACTAGGATGGGTCGCCGCTCCTTGGCCGGACAGGTTACTGCGCCGGACACCGATGTCCCTCCACCGAAGGGGATGATCACGAAGCGGTGACGAGATGCGCTCTCAACTATTTGTACCACCTGGACACGATGGACTATTTTATTGTTGATGATACTTTTTAAACGCTAATTAAAAAATGTTAAATGTTAAAAGCATTGAAAAATGTTGTAAGAAACTTGAGCGTAAAAGTTTTTTCGAATTCGTGCCAATGAAAACCCTCGCTACGCTCGTGTTTTCAATTTGGCCCTTATTCGTAAAACCTTACTTTCCGCACTCGCATCTTAAATAACTATTTTAGACATATATAAAAACATATTACAACATACGTAATATTTATTTTATTCTGGTTTTTAGTATTTGTTGTTGAGGCGACAACAGACGTACATCATCTGAAAATTTCAACTATCTAACTTTCACGGTACATGAGATACAACCTGGTGACAGACAGGCAAACAGACAGCGAAGTCTTAGTAATAGGGTTTCACCCTTTGGGTATGGAACCCTAAAAATTAAGTCAGTTTTTGGGAAATTATTGTGGCTGCAACCGCAACCTTTCTACTTCTATGCAGTGGAAACACAGTGGCGTATCCAGGTTATCTTTGTCTTTGAACACCTCTCAATCTACTAAACATCAGTTTTCCGTAATCTATTTTACGTTTTAAAGGTTTAAAAATATAAAAGGACAAAACAAACTATTTTTTATTTGGTTTACCTACATAATAGCTGCATTTAGTACCTGCTCATGTGAATTAGGCCAGATGACAGCATCAGGTATCCTCGGGAATTTATTTGTTCGCACATAAGAGATGTCCTTGAGGGTCTGACCGTGTGCCCTGATCAGTCTGTCCAGCCCGTCCACGCTCACTGGGGCGATCTTCTCCAACTCCTGCTTAACGTTCCCGGGAAGGCGGCTCTCAGGATATGACGTGGGGAGCTTGGGTATCTTCGGAGGCTTATTCGTGTCTATATTGAAGTAGTCTACCGCCCATTTCTGTAGATGTGGCAATGGCTTTTCGCCAATCGAATATCTGAAATATTTCAATTATCGATACACTTCTGGAGAATTATAGACTGTAACCATGTTTGCAATCTTTTTTTTTGTTTGTAATTGATCTTTGTAGTGCTGTTAATGTCATCTATCTTTATTACATGGCCTGAAATATATGACCTATGCCATAACAGATACGATTGTATTCCTATAGTTGATAAGATACGATACAGAGTACCCACCAGAGCCCATGCTCGCACTCTTTGTCGATTGTTTGCAACTCCTCCGTGTCGTACTAATGCTGGTAAACGTTCACCCCTGTATAGACTGGTAGACTCATATAATGAGTGGTTCAATACAGTCGACATGACGGTGACGAACATAAATATTTTCAAAAAATTGTTATTGGTAAATCTTAAGTGAATTGCTTAATATACATTATATGTGGTACTTTCAGGGAAAGCGTACGAGGCTTATCAGCCACTATAAGTAAATTTAGTTTAAAGAAATTATTATAACTGTATGTTTCAATTATTGTTTTCTCTCTATTTTTTAAATTGTAAGGCCAATTGCTAGATTGATGTACAGTACACAATATAGTATATTTACTTAAATAACGCTTAGTGTAACAAAACTATATTTACATGTAACTTAATCTTGCGATCTGCGCCAAGTTCTTGTATTGTCCCTTCTCTTTCTATGATTTTGTATGACACCCATAACACCTTCATTATATACTTTACTTTCACTCTTAATTGTATGTAATTGATAAATATGTGGTAAACGGTGCTGGTGTCAAAGTTAGTAATATAGTATACTACTACTAATTAATATATTGTAATTACTTTGTAACTGTTTGTTTACCCAAATAAATAGAAAAAAAAAAATATAGGTCCTTTTTGGGCCAACGATCAACCAATTTAAAGGCAGTTACGAATTATGGTTGATAGTTTACAAGTGTTATAGTTACATTTCGTCCTAATTCTTGCATTCGCCCAGAACCAAATCTTTCCTCTATTCTAAATTAAACAACCTGATTTGTAATTTTGTCCATAGATTCAGAGAAAATTTGTTATCTATATTGTATTACATCACAATTGACGAAATGGTTTGATCGTGATAGCCCATGTTGAAAGGAAACTAAGTCTTTCGTGTTTGTGCCCGACAACTCTAGAGCTAGTAATATGTATACTTTACACAAAATATCACGAGAACTGTCAAAAGAGGAGCGTAGTTGTGTTTAGCTACTAATATAACAAAACTCATAATGCTTCTCTACGTCTACTCGTAATATTATTATGTGTATTTCTATCAATAGCTTGAAACTGTTTTAGTAATTCTTCCACCAGTAGGGTGATAACATCATTGAGCAGCAGAATCATTATCAGCCTTTATATCCATTGCTGGGACATAGGCTTTCCATATAGATATACACGGTTAATGAGCCATAAACCCTATCAGGGCGAGTACAGATTGATGAATATTGCTAACTACAGGTGCTGCCGAGACTAACGTCGTGACGCGACTTCCGAAATACAAAGGAGGTCGAGATGATAAATGCGTGGTCACCTATTTGCTGACCCGGAAGTAATTCGGGTACTTTTAATTGGAATATCCTCATTTGATCAGCAGAGTACGTCACTGTGAGGCGACCGCCTCTCATCCGGTAGAGCGGTCTGAACCGTACCGAACCAGGATTGTTGAGTTATGCTCAAAGAGCGGCAATCCCTTCGCTGTCTGGTACGAGAATTATACTACTTGCATAGTAAGTATATAACTAGCTGTAGTTGTCCTATTGCAGTGTAACTCAATATTGAGAACAAAGTAGGTTTGTTGGTAATTAAGACATATGGCGGCGACGCGGACGACGGCTTTGTACAGAACACATAATGACGTATTGTACACATAACATAATATTATCATGTAAATATTCAGCAATACTATAATATTTAACAATTATTTCTTAGGAATTCAATTTCCAGTGGTAAGTTGGGGAAACTCGTATATTACAGTTATCCATTATGATAATATAGTAAAAGTTTTTCACTGAAAAAAAAAATCTCAGCGAAATTAGTTGTAATTTTTCAATTATGCTAGTTGTATTTTTAACATAATCATAACATTGCAGAGTTTATTTTTAACGTTCGTGGGTTCGAATCCCATCTTGCGGTACATGGGGCTGGTAGATTTTTGAAGTATTTTTCTATTAAATATCTGCCAGTATGGCATTGTGAATAGAAAATGATCAAATATAATCATTCCAGAGTTTGTATTATACCAGAATCACGAGTTAGTGTATCACAAAAGTTAAAAGATGTCAAGATATAAATAACTAAAAGTTTTGAAAGTCCTTTAATATGCTTGTTTAAATAATAAATCAACACACCAGCCCTCTTACGTCCCCACTGCAGGGGCTCAGGCCTTCCTTACGGATGGTTAAGGAGGATGGGCCATGACCCTCCACGCTGGCCCAATGCGGATTGGAGGGTATTAACGACTACAAATTCAGCCGGGACCAACGGCTTAACGTGCCTTCCGAAGCACGAAGTAGCTCGAGATAATAATTTTTTGGTCACCCATCCCGTGACCGACCCTTGCGAAAGTTGCTAAACAACAACGATCGCGGGCCGCGGCGCTTATCCTCTACGCCACCGAGCTACTTAAAGCTTAAATTAAAGCTTAAATAATAAATACTTTCCCTGAAACCTTGTTCAGTTGAAATGTAATTAAATGCACGGGGGTAAGACCCATTTTACGATTCAATAATGTTAGCATCAGTGTCATGGCCTGGATAGCAACAGCAATTATGACTTGTATCAAATTCTTACTCAGTTATAGATCAGGGGCTAATTTATCAATTAATTTAATCGTTATCGTTGACATTAGCTGTTGGCTTGGTCTTCTGGGATTTCAGCAATCTATGTCTAATAGATTGTTAATAGGTGTGTGTTATAAGATGTTAAAACTGAGAGTAAAATTAAAAATTTACAAGTACAATAATGTTCTTTTACAAAAAATAACGAAATTTCAAGAAAAACTAAACGTACTGTTTTAATTTGTTTTTCTCATTCTTTAGTTTCAATCAAAAGAAAGACCTGAATGTGGGAAAATGTCGGAAGATTAAAACATTTTAAAGCTTATTTAAATGAAAAATATTTTCCATCAGCCAGTTACACAAACGTCCATTAAAATAAGTTTAAAACGACATTAGCCATACAATTTTAACATTAATTATAGCTCAAAGGTGCCATTAAAATTTAATGGATGTTTGTGCAACTGACCGTATGAGCCTTAAAAAATTTCAAAGCATTATATTTGTGTTGTTTCGATAAAAATACACGGTCTCCTAATCTAAATAGTCATTAGATGCTGTCACCCGCTCACAACGACCGTTTATTTAATAGCATAATGTGAACAGAAACTTCATTTCGTGTAACTTTATGTCTAATAACGAGACACATTTTATTATAACACTATCATGTGGGACACTGCTGTCATTGCAAACAGTAATTATATTTCTTAATGAATAATGCTTAAAAATGGGATTATTAAGTATTTTCATTAAGAATATTGTAAATGCAAAATTAATCATATAAAATAAGTTATTATTTTTACTAACAAGTGCCCTGAAAAGCTTGTTCAAAATAGCTGATATAGATGAACAATTACTGTAACACGTAAATGCAAATTGAACTCATATGAACCACAAATGTAAATTTTTCATCAAAAGGCGTTGTGAAAATGATGATGAAAAATTAACACATTTGAGGTAGAAAACAGGGTTGCGTGTTATTGAAGGGTGTTGTCATGATATCACAAGCCATAAAAACCGGGGAGCATGTATGGAAATAGTAATGAATGTCAAGACTGCGTGGTTTGTAGCGGTCAGCTCCATTTTATTGTCTGCCTCTCAAGGGATTTGGTGTGAATATGTATATAAGTATTTGCAGCTGTAAATTAAATGTGAGCATACCCTGCTCACATTGCGAGGCCCTCCAATGGCGCAAGAAAGGAAACTTTCAAATATGTTATATTTATGACTTAAAATAATTTAATAATCACTTTCCAACTAAACAAAAATCAAACGAACTATAATTAATAGAAGAATCATCACTACAAATTCAAATGATCCTTCTGCATACTTTGTGTGACGTTGTGTCTAAATAATTGAATGGGAAACGACAATTTAGCAAAACGCCTACGCTCGATATTGCGGTGCTCTGATGATTCCATGTCACGTGTCGTTTAGTCATTTTGACACATTAATATACTGTTCACGGTTTATACTAAACACTGAGCGTATTTAAATTAAATAAAAAATGTCAACAAATTAACTAAAATAAATAAATATTAAACAACGTCACATATATTGCTCAGATTACAAGATGAGTAGCTAAAGCCCCCGTATTATGGAGTATCTGAGACAACGAAGGTACCACAACACCCAGACCCGAGTCAATATAGAAAAGTTCATTTTCGACCGGGAATCGAACCCGGGACCTCGGAGATGGCGACACCTTGAAACCGGCGTGCGAACACTCGGCTACGGAGGGCTACGGAGGAGGATAAATATTTCTTAATTTGTGGCTACAATAAAGTTGGGACACCCGAAACGAAAATAGAGATGTTTTTTGTTTGTTTGTAATGGGCAAAAGTGCGAATTTCGCGGCGTCAACTAGTAGCTCATAAATAAACTACGACAATGAATGACTCACACCATACACTCATGTGTTAACACGCCCTTACAAAACTACATTTTACCTATTGCCAGTGAAGTATGCCATATCGCCCTGCAGTTTGAACATAGAGTCCTTGTAGCCCCATCCGTACCATTTCAGCAAGTCTTGTCTGCACAAAAATAAAGCATATAAATAAAAAAAACTGTACCAATCAAAACTATTGAATTGGAATTTACAAAACTCCACAAAAATATGTAATAGAAATCCATACCGCCATTTTATGAATCAAAAAGTAGCGCCATTTTACCACAGACGTACTGCGCTAGGCACTAACTCTACTTTTTAATCGACTTTAAATTTCAAAAGGAGGACGGTTTGTTCGTCGGCGATGTTTGTTTTTTTTACATACATAATGTTCACCGATATTTCTGTCCATTGTTGATTAATTTTCGAAATTATGTTTTTATTCGACAGCTCGATGGACCGAAGTGTCCCATTTAAATTTTATCGAAATCGAATCAGTAGTTTTCCTTTCATTACAAAACAATATACGCTTTTCACCAGATATCACCTAAATATTTAGATTATATGTAATGATATGGCCCATTTCAGCTAAAAAATCAACACATTGTGTATTTTGGATGCATTCAAAATCCGAAAGGAGGATTCTCTGCGTTCAAAGAGTATGTATATTTTTTATGAATGTAGTAGAAGGAAAGTACCAGTTTCTATAAGACAAACAGTTTATCTATTAAACTGTTACAAAGTAGCTGTTTTCCCGTGATTTTACTTGCGTAAATTAGAGCCTATGTCCCTCGCGTATTATGTGGCTTCCCATAGATCAAAGAATTTAGTAAATCGGTCCAACAGTTTCGGAGCCTATCTAATGCAAACAAATCTTTTCTCTTTATGAGTTGGATAAAAGTAATGTCGAGCAATTAAACAAAATATCCTTTTCTAAGACTTTCACTATGTTGAATATTTTTATTTATATAGATATTGAATATTTTAGTGTAATCTATTAAATCATTATCACAAAAAAGCATGAAATAAAAACTTAAAAAAATAAATAAATAGATCCGACTTGAAACTTTGAATTTTAAGATAAGTTCCAATGAGGAAGTATTCAAAAAAAGAAAGCACTAAAAACACCTCCACTAGATGGCGACTCTAGCAAAAGTTGATTTTTGCAGGACCAAACGAATAGACCAATGATAGTCATTTCCGTTCTTTTTAACAAACGTATTAAAAACCCAAATTTGCAAATATCAATACAAATACGAATAAGTACAAATAAAATAAGAGTTGTTTGTTGAGTTTTGAAAAATAATTTACTTTTATATATGAAAGAAAACCGGAAGGGTTATCATAGAGAAATTAAGCAAGTACTGTAGCAACATCTATTTTGATCTCGGGAAATAATGTTTTCATTATAACTTTAGATTCTATTTTTTTGTAAAAAGTTTTTTTTAGATATGAGAATACCAAACCCCGAGTCCGGATAATCGGATATGCTCATAAACCGGGACATTCCGGGTGTAACTAGTAGTTGCTAGCCCCTCATTCAGTGGCCTTACTTAAAAACGATAATCATCAATAATAGGCAGCTAATCCAGCTGAAGTGCGAATGGCGACAGGCTAAAAATGTTGTATGAAGAATTAAAGTGCGAGAGGAAAGAAGGCGAGAACTGTATAAGAGGTATAATATTATTATGTGCCAGGACTTCGTGGGGTGGATGAATTAAATATACTGAACAACTTTTACTATGCGGGCAACACTGAATTCACGAAAAAAATATCAGCTGTGTCATACAAAATTATAATACCTGTAATCGCCAACAGTGTGAAACGGCAAATTTATTTTATAAAAGTTGTTCAGTATACTTAACTTATCCATCCCAAGTCCTGGGACATAATAGTATTACAACTTATATTTTACAAGCTTTTATTTAACTTGCCTTGTTAGTATGTTAGTTAGTGTGCAAATTTGGAACATGATGGAGTCGGAAGGTGATCATAGGAACTTAGTGATGACGAAAATGACGCAACTGCATCGTGTTTTGGCTCGTTAGATTCGTCTATATGAAGACTTTAGTACTGGATGCTCCGGTGATGAAGGAGCTGGTGGTCACAGGAAATTAGCAATGAAGTAACGCAACTGTATCGTGTTTGGGCTCTACAGGTCCTTCTTTATGAGCACAACAGTATATTGCAATACAGACAAACACCTTGCAATACAGACGCTATGTCAGAAATGAATAGAATGAGACAAAACCAAAAAGGTAAAAAAAAATATAATAAAAAAGTTTTAGCAATAAATAAACTCTTAACATTTAAAGTATTTATAATCAAAATTTCTCCAGCAGTAATTGACTCGAAAAGCTTGTTATAATCCACGTAAATTTCTATAGTAGCCACATTTATTTACTTATGATATAATGTTTTTTATCAACAAAAAACAGGTCAGCGACACGATGATATCTTATCTATGTAATCAGTTCCAAGAACCTGTAGTTGTGTTACTCATTTTCATATGTCAAGCTCCATTGCTTACGAATTAGAAAAATAATATTTCAGTTTCATAATGAAACTAGTACATTTATATCCTTATATCAGCACACAGACTGCACGCCATCTATATCTGCTAATATATAATTATCTATACTATTATTATAAAGAGGAAAGAGTTTATTGTTTGCAATGAATGGGCTCCGACACTAATGACCCGATTTTAAAGATTCTTTCAGCAACTGGAATCTTCATCATACGCGGGTAGGGTTACCATCTGACCGGATAAATCCGGTCTAGACCGGATTTTGAGGTAATAGGCCGGATTCCGTCCGGATTTCATTCGAGACCGGATTTTTAGTCATGTCAATAAATAATAAGCGCCACCCGGTACGATGCGCAGCGAACGCCAAATTAAAACAACCACATTATGATGAGTATGCACCTCTTGACATGCAGAGGTGCGGGAGGGGCGGCCCCCAACCTTTTTTAAGTGACTTTTATTTTCCCAATCTAGTGACTTTTATTTTCGGCCAAAGACCGGATTTTTTTACAGAAATCAGGATTTTTTTGCACAAACACTTGCATGCAACCGGGTTTTCGATTTAAGCCCCTGGTAACCCTATACGCGGGTGACATAGGCCATAATTTACGTGGGCGAAGTCGCAGAAGAACAGCTACTTAATATTAAAAAGATTTGATTTTGTCTACTACTGAGATGAGATCCCTTAACATTATATGCTGTGAAGTAAAACCATTGTATAGACTCTAAGAAATCTCTCACATTCATAGATTATTTAGTATAGTTCAAAAATTTAAATAAAAATTATTGTAAAATTGAAAAAGTAAAGTAGAAATTGTAATTGTAAAGTAGCTCGGTGGCGTAGAGCCCGCCCGCGATCGTTGTGCTTAAGCAACTTTCGCCAGGGTCGGTCATGGGATGGATGACCAAAAAATTATTATCTCGAACTACTCCGTGCTGCCGTTAATACCCTCCAATCCGCATTGGGCTAGCGTGGAGGGTCATGGCCCATCCACCTTAACCATCCACAAGGAAGGCCTGAGCCCCTGCAGTGGGGACGTGAGGCCTGATGATGATGAAAATTGAAAATATGGTGTTAGTTATTTATAGCAATTTAAAGATTGTTTTTAGCCCAATTTTAAATGAACATTATCAGTCAAGACTAATGATAACATTTGATAACAATCGTTAAAAATCAGCGAGTTCTGTGAATTCTTATAGCGAGGTGTGTCTGGCGTATCATTATTTTTTACCGGTTCTTATTTGTCAATATAATATTGGGTCTGTAGAAAATAGGTAAACTAGCGATATGCAATTGATCGATACATCATTGAGTTTTTTTTAAACGATATCCGTGAAGATTTTTACTATCTCTGCATCAGGGGCAGCGTCAGATCCTACTTCCGTTGCATAATAAATTATCAAAATAGCGTTTCCTTGAGAAATATACCCGTTGTAAGCGGTTAGAAGAGCATCAGAATTAACGATATTACTTAATCGGCGCAAAGCAAAGGAGCAACGACAGCTTATTACAAACATGGTCTATGTGTGACTTCCTATTCAAGACATTTTCAATATACAGTCTAAAAAACTTCGCTGTTTTAGCTTAGTTTATTATACTCAGAACCCTTAAGTAATTTATGGAATTAACTATTTTGTTTAATCTATATTTACCTATAGATTATTGCTTTAAAACCAATCCAATGTCTGGAAATTATTTTTGGTTAAAGAACTGTACTATTATTATCAGCAGTGTGATGTGATTACTTATGATAGAAGGCTAATCATCAATATCACATAGTAAAAAACAAAATCGCTTTCCGTCTGTCTGTCCCTATGTATGCTATCGGACTTAAAACTACGGAGTTTATTAGATAGGATAATGAAAAAGGAAGGTTTAAATGTATAATAAATAACCACGCAGGCAAAGCCACTGACGGAAAGCTTTTATGTATATTTAAAAAAGCAGATTTGATTATCTTGCTCTAAATTGAGTAGGACATTCAGAAACCACAAACGCAAACATATAAGACAAATGGATGTTTGAAAGAACCAACAAATCGCGAGTTCACAAGAACGCAAAACATTTTTCAAATAATTCGATCGAATAACAACGCATTGTACAACGCGAATACGTTATGAACAAACAAATAAACATATAAATTATTTGTAAAGTTATGTTTACAATCATGCGCCTTTGTGCAAAATAGAAACGGTAACTAGGCTAGGTCATGTTTAAGTAGGGCTGCCACAAGCGAGGTTTTACTAAAGTTTCCTTTTGGGATAACAACAAGCGAGAAAAAATGGTATATTTTCTAATTCTTGACTTTATCTTTTTATATGGTTATATATTATAGAAACACCGCGTTACACTTGCGGTCATACCTATATAATTGAAATCTATAGACTATGTATTTCGTAGGTTACTTAAATCTCAATTTGTGCAGTATCTAGTTCAACAGAAGCTCCTCCGTATTTTAAACTAGAGAAATTTCGGGATAACCTACACGGATGACATCCTTATATAAGAGTTATTTATAAATGAGACTCATTGGTATTGCACGTTAAAAATAAGAACAGGTTGTTTGTGTAATCAACATTAGGGCTGTCGGAAGTAGCTCGTTGCATTTTTGTCCGTTTTATCCTGTCACTACCCCAATATTAGAGTTCACGTTCTTGTGGAAACATAGCACGTGCATGTGCGTGTGTAATTTTTGGATTTAGGTTAACTTGACACCATCTGAAATCCAGCTTTTTTCGACACTCTACCATCTACAAAAACGTTACAAAAAAACCTTTGTTTGTCTGAATCTCATTTTTATCTTCTTTTATCAAAAAATAGAGGAAACAAAGGGATAATTTTGTAAATTATCATCAAGTTCTCGCGATTGGTATACCGGTTTGCAGCGCTTATTTCAAAGTATATTAAAATTTCTATAAAAAATAATATTTAGTAAGTTATTTCAGTATTTCGTTCATTTTAGGTTCCCGTACTATTCCATATCTGATTACTAGCCTTTATCTATATTAGTTTATTTGCATCGAATAGGCTCCGGAACTACTAGACTGATTTCATAAATTCTTGTACCTACGGGTAGTTGCATCATACGGGATTAACATAGGTAATAAATTTCGCATGTGAAGTCACGGGAAAACAGCTGATAATCAATAAAAACATTGTTCACTGCCGTATAAACATTTATAAAAAAGTTTATTTACGTTTATAGTTACTGTGACTATGCTTTGAAGCTTTGAATTTGCTGGTTTAGAAGCAGTAATGTTCCTTTCTACGTTATTTTTATGTGAATATTTATGTTTGGTGCATATTTGGTGTTATGCGAGGAGTGAGCTTACGAAAATATTATGTTATAATTAAAAATAATTATAAAAATGACAGACACTACTACTCGTATGAATTAACACATCACCTATTCTGTAACTCCGAAAACTAAATTTCGTCTTTTTTTCATTATGCTCTATGACTCAAAGAAACTCATTTTATGATATAAAAAAGGTAGGATATAATTTTAAGAATAAGAACGATTCGATATTTTCCAAATATTCGTTCGAGGACAATTAGTATAAACTTTCATGTTAATTCGTACGTGATAAACTTTATGATGTAAAATAATAAGTTACGATATCATTCAAAAATTGAAAACAAAAAATCTCAATTATAGTTCTTATGATGTTGTCATTTTTAATGCTTTGTATTTTATCTGATCTTATTTCTAGTTTACAATTAGAAATTCCTACACCCAATTTTATTATAATATCATTGATAATCAGCTGTTCTTTCAAATCCTTAAACTAGTATAAAATCGTAAAATGTTCCTGTTTTCGAAAATTCTAAGCCATCTACGAATTTATGAATTACATACATGGTAGAGCTACGCCTAGGACCATAGATAAGATATTAGAACCCACACTACTCTACCTAAATTCTTTTAAACAGTGATTTTTAAAATTGTCCGATGGTAATTTTCAATATAAGATTTTTTAATTTTGATTTATAAGAAGGTGCTATATTCAAGCTTTTCCATTAGGTAGGTTTATATATTCTGGATTTCAAGAGCGGACGTAGAACTTATTAAAATTTGTTAACTATTTCATTCTTTGTAATTTGAAGATGTAGGTAATAGATATATGAAAATAATTTAAACCTAATAGAAAAGCGTTGGAAATATTTTTAAATTTAAAAATTTCAGAACAAAAAGCACTTAAATTTATTACTTTTCAAGGATTTCTAAATCTTTAGGTAAACGTAAGGGGTTCGGTATATGCCGGTTACCGTTCATCGATTTTAAAACTCACCTCTTTCGTGGTATAACACTTTTCACTTTTATAATATTGTTCAGACGGCTATTATTGTCATTATCTTTCTTTTTATCACTGAATGTTTTGTTTACAATATTATTCGATGGAGTGCCGGCGTTATTTTTCGCGACTTGGGGCATTTCAGAACTATCCAGCGTAGCTGACATATTTACGAGACACTAACGCAAGACGCAGCCGATTATAGATTTGGGTCGGAAAAGATTTGGTTCGTTCGTACAATTTTTATAAATTGCGCAGGCTACCGCGCATCTAATAACAGACAGCGTCGGTTAAACAGTCAATTTGCTAATAGCGCCATCTGTACAACTTTTACAACATTACTCGATAAGCTTATGTATAGCTCCGATGTTGATTGAAATGTGCGTATGCCACTGTCATTCAAGCTGTGTTGTATGTAGAGATCCCTCTTAACGACAGAGGGCTCTACTTGAAACAAATATTTTGATAGAGTCCGAATTGAATCTTCAGATAGAATGCAATATAATTAATGCCTATCAACTTAAATTATTTTGCTCGGTTTGATGTTTTATAGAGCATTTTTTTTTAATTTTTATGATGAATAGAGGTACGATAACAATGGCGACTCATTGAATCGTTATTGTTTTCTCGTACCTTTTGTGATTCTAATTTTTACAATTGTAGAGTAATAACTTTTGTAAAAATGTATATTTTGAATAAATTTGTCACCAAAAGAAAAGCCAAAAAAGTATTATGCTCTACATTATTAAATACTGTGTTTGTCGTTATTTTAATTGACGAAAAAGGAAACTAACTTAAAATTGATCCATTTGATAGTGTTATTTTTAATGGAAATATTTATTAGAAAGTTATTATAATTTAAACAGTGGGCGCCCGTCTAGTGTTGACTCTATCTATGAGTTCATTGAGATATTCAATCAATGTTTTAATCATATTTTAATTTATTTGAAATACAATCAGAAATCTAAAAGTATAATTCATAAATTATCTCTACAAAAGGTAAGAAATCTATAATTTTAAAGCTCTTGACAAATTTACTTTAGTGAAGCTTTTTCCCAAGACATTTGAAAAAAAAATTGTTTGGCAGTAGGGGCGGTCGCCCTTTGAAACAGTTGCGATTTGATGTGCAAAGTGTGTGTAATTTTGGTGACGGTACAAGTACTTGAAGTTGTTTTTATATACGAGAAGCTATGTAGGACTCCAAGGTTCTAGAGGAACTTTAAACATGTAAAGATTATATCTAGTACCCGCTCTATTTTCAGTGGTATGAGTAATGTGTTTTATCATAAGAATACCTACTTTATCTACGTGAAAGAAATAAGAAAGATGTAGTTTTTAATAAAATATTTTATTGATCTATTTATTTACTTGTACATATTATAGTTATATAAATTAGTTATACTTAGCGTTTAGTAAAGAAGATATATAGAATTAAAGCGCTTGATTGCAAGCTTCCCTGTGGAGACAAAGAAACATAATATTTTTTTGTGATATAAATAAATTAAGTAGGTAAATGAAATATATGGGTAAATAATCATTACAGTTCTATAGAACATCAACACAAACGTTAACAAATGCAACATATAAACTTAGTATTACATCAATAATAATTCAGCAAATAATCTAGAATTGATACTGAAATAAACTTGATCAAGTTTATTTTCTATAAAGCGTAACATGTTGGCTGAATTGCTGGTTATTGATATTTTCGAAATTGGCCAGTTTTTAAAATAAACCTAAATAATTTTATTGTATAATAATTGAAATGAAATGATATAATGATAAAATAATATATATACGAAAAGGTTATATACATGGTAATTTTAAAAGTTACTTTAAGTAACTTACATAGCGAATAAAATCTATACTATAATAAAAACGTAACCGATCGATGTCTGTACATTGAAGATATATGAAAAAAACTGTTATGAGGAACATTTATAAGAGTAATAGAACACAAAACAATGATTTTTAAATTTTTTGTCTGTTTGTCTGTTTGTCGGTTTGTCTGTTTGTCTGTGCGTTTGTGCACGATAATCTCAGAAACGGCTGAACCGATTTACATGCAGTTTTCACTATTATATTGCGGCATTCTTCCGTTAACATTTAGTGTAAGATTTATTTCAATCGGTTCACAAATAAAAAAGTTATGTCAATTTGAAGTGACGAGGTCGTCAAAAATGCTATCAAATATTTACTGTTTTATTAAATTTACGTCTTTGATATATTGATCATCATCATTAATTCTTTCACAGCCAATCTGCAGGGCCTCAGGCCTTTGCTTAATAATTTTTGGTCACCCATCCCGTGAACTACTCTTGCGAAAATTGCTTAGCAATAACGATCGTGCGCAGCGGCGCATATCCGTAGCGCCACCGAGCTACGAATTAATATTGTCTATAAAATGATAATTTGTATGATGACAAATAAAAAATAAGATTTCAAAATTTTGAAAACTCCGAAGTAAGTTGACCTCATTTATATATGGCCAATCATATTAAATAGGGTTCAGCTTATAATGGACATGTGGTATACGATCACGCGAGTAGGAGAACAAACGGAAAGAGCCTTTCGATGATGCAATTAAGCCTCGAGTAGTTTACAGTGAACGTATATTTTTATCAGATGAGGTTCACGTCGTCGTCGGGGCCAACGGAGGTGGTTGGCAGCCGCTCCCACATTGCACGGTTTCTTCTGTCTGGGAGAGGCACTCGATTTACCCGAGTCTCTCCAATTTTCCATCTGCAAGGGGACCAATAGTCGAATACTTGAGTGTCCTGGTGACTCGACCATAGCTTGCCGGTTTTCATTTCCCATGAGAGGGTGTAGAGTACGGGTTTTGGAGAGTAGGCTTCTGGGGACCCACCGGGCAACTCACTGTCGGGTTCACGGAGGAGAATTCTACTCACTCCTGTTGCTTGCCAGGTAACAGAGACAATTTCAGAAGTTTTTCCACGACGTTAAAAAACTTAGATTCACGTCAACTGAAGTTAAGAACGTAAAGACAACTCGAGTTATATACATTTTGTTCTCTTATTGCTATTTTTTTATGTTAATACTCTTTTTGTTTTTTTTTTAACATACAAATTGCTGTAGATACGTACTTCAAAGTTGTTATTTTTAGTCTTCACTGGAAACAATGCTTTATTCATTGGTCACAACACTCATATATTTACGCGAGTCTGAGGGTCGGTTAAGAGTAGCTCGGTGGCGTAGTGAATAAGCACCATGGCCCCCGATTTTAGTTGTTAAGCAACTTTCGCAAAGGTCGGGCACAGGATGGATGACCAAAAAATATTATCTCAAGCAGCTCCAATGTTCGGAAAGCACGTAAAGCGATTGGTCCCGATTGTATTTGCAGTCGTTAATATCCTCCAATACACATTGGGCCAGCATGGGTCGTGGCCCATCCTCTTTAACCATCCATAAGAAAGGCCTGTGCTCCTGCAGTTGGTGACGTAAAAGGGCTGATGATGATGATGATGATGATGATGATGATGACGATGGGGGCCGTTCAAATCTGACAGAAGCTCAGTTAAGCACCTCACGAAAGTATGTTAGTAGACGATTTCCTTCGAGTGTGAGAGTCGAAATTAAAATATGTTTATATTTTTTTTTATATCAATAAATAAAACTCCACGTATCTTCCGTCAGACATGTACTGACCGACTTTAATAGACAAAGAAAGAGATCAGACAGAAAGCGCTCGGTCTCGGGAGACACCTGAACAACGCGAAACGTATTTAACTGCCCATCGCGAGGCTCATGCACTATAAAGTTGAATCTGAAGCATTTATGTACATGCAGTATGGTATGAGTATGAAACTTCTTTTAGAGAGATCGAGAAAGTAGTTTCGATTATCGCCAACCCGTGTTGACTTCATACTCCACAGGCGTACCGCAGATAAGTTTTCACGGGGTATAATGAACTAGCTATTTTCCCACGACTTTGCCGCAAAATTATAGCCTATGACATGCGCGTCTGATGTAGCTTCCCGTAGGTCGGTTCCGCTCTGCAACTATCGGTCCAGTAGTATTGGAGCAAATTCGATGCAAACAAACAAACAACCAAATCTTTCCTCTTTATAATATTAGTATAGCTTAGGCATAAGGGGTCCGATGACGTAGTGTGTTAGCGCATTCGGTTTAAATTGCAGTTAAATAAGTAAGTAAATACTGCACAACAAGGACATACATGAATACTTATTTTACATAAATAAGTACAAACGACAAACTCATCACTAGCCGGCGATTTCTTCCAGGCAAACTAGCATTACATGAAAAATAGAACTATAAATAGCCGATTGTGCATACAACTAGACAAATAATAATCATTTAAAAAGATCAAAAACAAAAGAAGGACCGTTTAAAGGTACGAATAAAATGCTCAGACACAAGCAACAACCGGAGCGCGAGAAACGAGAAAAAAATAGAAAAATAACATTCGTAAGGACCGTTTACAGGATGGGTGACCAAAACATTATTATCTTGAGCACTGAGCACAACACTGGCATAATGCACGTTAAGCCGTTAGTCCTGGCTGCATCAGCAACGTTAACACCCACCGATCCACATTAAGCCCGCGTAGTGGGTTATGGCCTATTGATCTTATTCGATTCGTCTGCATTCATAGGAAAAAAAAAATCTACCAAAATACTTCCCACGCAGACGAAGTTGCGGGCACAGCTAGTTTGTAATAAAGTTACAAGTATTTTCTAGCATGTCTTTAATGTTAGTACAAAATGCAATCAACTACGTCTAAATATGTCAATAATTTAAATTCGTTCCGCAGTCTTACTTAAATATCTAAGCACCTATTTTTGATTACTTAACATTACCTACTTGCGAAGCAGACTTTTATATACATACTAATGTTAGGGGGCGTCCATAAATTACGTGAGGTGTTTTTTAAATTTTCTGTCCCTCCCTCCCCCCCCCTGGTGAGATGTCGTGAGATTTTATTCAACCCCCTACCCCATCCCCAATCTCACGTGAGATTTTTCAAAATGCAATTTGATGAGTACTTGCGAGTATTTGCCTTGTTGTAGTATCGAGTATCACTTTTGAAAGTATCGATACCTACTCGGTATCGAAAGTATCGTTCGAACCCTACAAATATGGTGGTTTGACATTCAGTAGATGTATAGCGTCGAAGTATGAATGAAATTATTTTTTTTTGAACGAATTAGTGAATGACCTTAATCGTATACGATTACGCTTAAGATTTAATCTTAAGCATGTACAATCTGGATTAAATGGACCCCTTCCCCCCCTTAAACATCTCACGTAATTTATGGACGCCCCCTTATTTTTATTGATATAACTTTAGCCCACGTCTAGCTTTGTTTTTAATTGAGTGAATATATCAAATTATTTTTTTATTTTCCACATATAAGTATTTTAAAATACTTATTGTTTAAATAATTCATAAAAATGCAATTTATAATAAAACTATTAATACCTTAAATACATTGCAGTCAAAAAAGTATACTTTCTTGTAAAGTTTTCCGTTTTATGTATTTTAGTTTAAATAAACAGAATTCATTTACTCACCTATTTGTTTTAAACTAAATGTAATAATTTAAATTAAGCGAATTACTGAGTTTAACAATAGAGGAACTGTCTAATGACGGACTCGTGGAGTCTAATATTCGCATTTACAAATGTTACTGATATTTTTAAGATTTTATTGATAAAGCTCATAAAACTGATTAATAGTGATTAATAATTATAGAAAGTTTCTTTTTTGATTTTGAAGATCTGGTAGTCATTTGTAAAGTTATGTATAAAACTAACATTGTATAAATCTGGCCGTTAATTATGGACGAATGATTGTTCATTGGATATTTCTTAAACACATATTTTTTTCGTTGGCACGTCCAACGATGCCTTAATTTGTTAATCCTACGATAATTTACAAAATTTCATGGACGCGACTTTTGTTTTACTTAAAATTACGGGAGGAGTCTGTGGTATTCCGCGGACTTCTTGTTCTTCTCGATTATGTAGAAAGACTTGGGTTTTCCATTGCCCGAGAAATATTTTCTGAACGAGGTCTTCTTAGTTGGTACGTAGTAAGCTAAAGAATTCAACGAATTGAGGTGATCATTGACACCTTTGGGCCAAGTCGGTGTACTTTCTACGTCGACTATGTCATCATCGAATCTTGCTTGGGGACGGTTCTTGGCTATTTTGTGTAGTACTGGAATGTTCCAGTGGTAAACCCGCGCTGGTTTCCCGTTGCTAGTCATCTGGAGGGGAAGTGTTCTGGCTGCAGCTGGTGCTGGTTCAGCGTGGGTGTAGTAACTCGTGTTTGGTGGTAGTTTGATGACGAACATTCTCGAGTCGCCGCTGGCGTGTCTTCTTCCTTGTTCAGCGAGCCTTTTCCTGTGGTGTGCGGCCGGTATCCTCAGCTTTTTAAGACCTAAGGAGCTGAGAAGCTCGTGTGTTGTCGGTTCTTTGTCGGCGGTAAGATTGTTGTCATGGCTGGAGGAGGTGGCTGGAGCGGTGTAAGTAGCTGCGATGGTCATTAGCAGGATGGCAACTCTGGAACAAGAGATATGATAATATTATTGTTTATAGTGATATTTGCAACTTTAAGACATGGACATGGGAAATATGTTTTTAAATTTTCTAAATTCTTTGTATATACTGACGACTTAAAGATATATCACGCTATTCGCGACCACAATTATCACGTTGAATTACAACAGGATCTAGACAGATTGAGCCGTTCCTGCGATCGTAATAAATTGAGTCTTAGGTTAACTAAATGTAAATCTATTACTTTTATTTAAAAAGTTTATAAGTAACTTCACATACACTTTATTCGGAGGAATTTGGAAAAGATAACCTTTATTAAAGATATTGGTGTGAAATTTGATAGCAGACAAAATTTTGACATATATATTGAGACTATTATTCAAGACGTATGGATGAGATCCCTGCGTAAACACAACACCGATTGTTTGTTATATTTATGTGTCGTACAAATGCAGGCTACGCGATGGAAAGGACCACAGGGGAAAAGGAATGTTGGTAGACCGATAAAACGGTAGACTGATGAGATAATACACATTGCAGGAAACGACTAAAATTATATAATGATTGTTTACATGATCTCGACATATTCAAGTTGTTAAAGAAAGAATTAGTGAACTAAAGCGCAATGTCATATCATCGTGAATAATATATATTATCATATTTGTAACAGTTTTGTTTGTGTAGTATTCTTTTTTGTTAATAAGTATTTAAACTTATTTTGGATTCGAGTCCCATCACGGAGTGTCAGGAACAAAGTGGATTTTTTAAGCATTTTTCATTAATAAGTATTTAAGCTGATAGCATAAGCAACTTTCAACCGCTTATATTAACTTGTAGTTAACGGTGCTGGTTTTGTAATTATTAAACTGTGTACACCATATTGTAAAGCTATTGTAAAACTGTTTGTTGACTCAAATAAACAAAAAAATATGCATGTAATAAATAAGTTTATGGACAGTAGGTCACAGATTTAGTATTTTGTAGTAACCTGACGTGCCGTCGACTGTGCAAAAGGGACGGATTTCAATTTTGCATCACACAATGTTATACCAATGAATATTTTAATAATATTTGGATGGATTGTCTGAACAGAAATGAAAATACACAAAAAGTAACAAGTGCTTGAAAAATTCTTCAGTTCCGTTGGGTATTGGATAGCTAAACGGTTAGAGCAGACGCCGGGATTGCGAAAAGTTTTCAAGCATTTTCTATTAAAAATATTTGCCAACACATTACACTGCTCTAATTTCAAAGTAAGTGGCAAGTTTTTGTGCTTTAAAATCTGAAACATCACCCACACTTGAGATAGTACGAAAATGAATAGAAAAACATGTAGTAACTTCCGTTATTCGGTGTTCAGATGGTATGTTGTCCAATAAGGTTCATGTAGTTGAAATCATATTGTTTCAAGGTTAATGCTAATGCTAAAGCTCTTTACTTTACGATGTGTATGACGTATGAGGCTTTTGTTCGGTGACCCCATCGCCACCTTTGTTTTATAAGCAAATAAAACCTGTCTTGCGCGCTCGGCAAAACTTGCAATTTGTATTCAGTCGTAAAAAGTTTCAAAATCAGGTTGATTAGCTACTGGTTGGGTCATTCATGATATTTATCTCAATCAATAGAATATTAATATTTTTTAGACAAAATCTTTCAGAGCGTAAAGTTTTTAATGGCTAATATTTCAGAAAGACACTTTTTAATCTTGTTTGTCAAATGATTATTTTATTAGTCGTATAGACGAGAATTTAATTAATAATCTACAGAAAACCTCCGCCCGACTTCTATAGCGTTTACTTGATTAACATCCGGTTTCTGAATTGAGAATTTGAAGTTAAGCACGTCTCAAACCGTGCTTAAGCCATTTTAAACGTTAATTAAACAAGTTTTATTACTGATTTATATTATTTTAATGATCAGTTGATAGCAATTTGTTAAAACTAGAACTTTTGGCCATATGAAACGTAAAAAGTTTAAGTTATTGAGAATAATCAGTTGAGATTTTGTGCTTTTCTCAATTCAGAAACCGGCTGTAAGTCACTTTTGAGATAAGCATTATTTATCATTTTTCTAAAGTTAGAAGTCGACTCATTTCTTTTTAAAAAATTTATTTTAACTAAACTTTAGCTACATAATTCTGTTAGTTTGTCTGTAGGATATCTGTAAACTGACATACACTTTGCCGACTTTATGTGCATATACATTGTACGCAAGAATGTATAACGGTAGTGTTAAATTCTTAGTTTTACGACTAACGCGAATCACTAGGGTTATTTGTTAAAAGCAACGTAAACTTTGATTTTACTATTGACTTTACTGCATTTTCCGGTTCTTCGTTGGCATGGAATTTGTATGAGGACTTCTGGGGGTGTAATTATGATTGGAGATTTCACAGCTTTATGTAACAACACCACGAATGTAGCGTGACGTAGTGCCGTCACTAAGATGTTACAGCAAATAAAACTTCTATTACCTTTTCAAGTAGATTTTTTTTAATAACCTCTAATGCTGCGATTTTTTTTGTTTGAATAGAATTTCTGACATTGCTTTTAGAATGGTTTTTCAGGTTGTAGTAAAACAATTAACGTTTAATTATTAGAACTTAACCACAATGATTGAAGTCCGATGAAGGTCAAGGAGAATATAATAGCGAAATATGGCAAAAATTTAGAGGACAATAATAAAAACAACTGTTTTCCATATTAGATAAACGTTACACAATTAGAAATGTTAGGTAATTTTAAGCAGAATATATTGATAATAAACACATAATTACAAAAGTAAAGTAATGATTAAATATAACTCAAGAAATCGACATTATTACCTATATTTATTATGACAGCTGAATACATAAATGTTTTGCAAATAATGAATAGAAACACTGCAACGCTGATTTTTAAATTTCGTCCACTATTTTAATGGATATAAGCCATTTATCGTTGAGTGACATAGTCTATACGTTTTTTATTACCCATATTTGGTTTCCGCATTTCTTTTTGTAAAGTCAAAATTATCTTTATTGAAATTGAAAAAAGTCGACAAATTTTAAATGATACGACTGTTATAAAACAGATAATCTTTTATCATCACTCTTATAAGTTTGATCTTCGAGGTTTGATTTGAGTCTCAAGAAACTGCACTACATTAGATAAGAGTAGCCACTTTTATAACAAATCATACGACACTACAAATTCGTATATATAATAATTTTGAAATCTTTGATTATGTATATATTAAAAGTTTAATACATAACCCGCTCAAGGTAACTAATACTCGTAGTTTCTCTTTTTATAAGTTTCACCGTTTTTACAAGTTTTATTAAATTTGTTAATTTTCCTTAACAAATATTTTAAAATTATTAAATATTACTTGGAACTTTATTGTAAAAGCGCCCACAAAGAATTAATGACTAACCAACTAGGTTCCCGCCAATGTCTTTGCGGGCGTGGTCTTGTATTGTATTATATGTACAATATTTCGTTTTGAATAACTAAGTATATTGATGAAAGCCTCATTAAAATCCATTTGTGTAAATTAAAAGGTCTCAGAGTACAGACAGCAGGAAACGACTTTACTTTATAGAATGAATAGATATATAGATAGGCTATAGAACTATATTTACTTTTTTAGAGAATAATACAGATTGTTAGTTGATCTATCGATTCTAAGTTTTCACAAATGGTTTGTATTTGCATAGATTTTTATACGTACATTTTTTTATCAAAAAGCTGTAAAAGGCACAGTGGAGAGTTATAGTAATACGTGTTATTTTTTTTTAAGTTTCTTTTTAAATATTAATAGCGTTATTTATTTATGCAGACCGCGTGTTCGTTTGCGCAGGATGGTATTCCAAGAAACTAAACAATAAGCGCGACTGTGCGGTCTCCGCTCTGCTTTCGTATTAATAATGTTTGAAGGTCTATCATTAAGTTTATTGCTTTTCAGTACTCAGTACTTTTCCACAATATTTACATATATCGTATTGATATGTAAAGATATTGTACTTTTCAAACAGATTCTTTTTCAATTCATCATATAAACTTAGATTCCAAACAAGATGTTAAACTATTCGAAAACGATGAAAGTACTATCACATCCAGATACGAGAAAATATATGTAGAAACGTTAATTCATAGTCTTCGATATATCGTGTGTACGAAACAAATGGCATCAGAATTTCAATACTTGTAATTAATTCTAAGTTCAGTAACCCGGATGGTCTGTCGCCCCATTTGGCACTCGTACCTACGTCTGCACAGCGTGCGATGGCCTACTTACAACGTATGGGGTAAACTGGCTTTAGCTATGTCAACATTTAGTCTAAATGGGGTAAGTAAAAATAGTGCTGTGCTAAGAAACTGTCGAGGTGTATAATCCAAGAAGGAAAAACATGTTTTATATGTTTTTCAGTTAATGTCAACTTCTAAGAAAAGTTCACTTAAGAGTGCACAAGTCAGTAATATTAAATTCATTTTGAAAAATAAAGTCAAAATAAAAATGGAAAAATAAAAGAAAACAAGCAAAATCGTGAATATTACCAAGATCTTTGAAATCCTTTTCTGTATTTTTTACAGTAACACATGATTTATAAAAACGTGTGTTACTTTGTCCTATTCTACAATTACTGTAATACTTTAATGTTTATATACTAGTAAGCCCAGTTAATCTGATAATTATTTTAAAAACTATAGTCTTTTTTCCATCTTCATGTAAATAAACACGAACACAATTAATTAACTTTTCACCATTTTATTTTACACACCATAGATAGTAGTAGTTTTTTCTTAAGTGAATGACAAAACTTTTTTTTTTTTTAACAAAGAAATGAATCGTAACAAATAGTTTAGTTAACAATTATAGTAACTATGAATAGATGTAATAACAAAATTAAATGTAGTAATAAATTTAAACTTAACATCATGCTTACAGTTTGTTTTCTGAAACAAATAATTTTATTAATCTCACCCAGTGATCACCCAGCAGCAGATTAATTAGCATTGATA